CCAAGATTAGGGTATATGCAGATTCATGGGCAGTATGAATGGTTTGGTTGGCAACTCAGGCCTGAAAGGCAAAAAATTAGAAAATCAGAGAAAGGAGGTAGAGGCATGTGGATGGACACAGGAGTGGGAAGAAGTTGTTAAGACGCCAATTAGACAAAATGATTTGGCCAGTAAATATTTCTCAGTTTAGACAGAGCCCTTCCTGCTGCTGCGCAGCGGATCCATGAACAGCAAGTGGTCATGGCTACAGAAATGAAGCTCGGCATGAACTGACCAGCACGGCCGGCCACGTACCAAAGGAAAGAGAGCTATTGCCACCTGTGAATGGAATGTCCATTCTGCCAACCACAGAGAACAAGTACGGGGCTCTATTCCTCATGACACCCACAGGCTACTTGGTAGCAAATAGACTACACTGGGTCCCCTTTGACCCGGAAGGAGCAGCGGTGCACTCTCACAGAAAGAAGTACTTATTCTAGACAAGGGATTTCCATTCCCATCTGCAGAGTCTCACTGGGGGCTTAAAGACTGCCTGATCTGCAGACACAGAATCCCACCCATCTGATCAGGTGACACACTTCATGGCAAAAGAAGTGGAGGTGTGGGTTCATGAACATGGGAATCAGAGGAGGTATCACATACCTGACCACCCAGAAGCTCCTGGATGGACACAGACTTGGAATGACCAATTGAAGAAGCATTTTAGAGCCCATACACTGCAATGAGAATACATATTCAGGACACAGGTAACACCTTGAGTCAGAGAATTTAATATGGTGCTTTGTACCAATGGGAAGAATATATGGGTCTGGGAACAATGGGTGGGAGCAAGTGTGGCCCCATTTCCCATCATTCCCATTGATCCAGAGCTTCCAGGTCCCCGCAACTCTGGGCTCTGCAAGGTTACAGGACCTGGTGCTCAACAGGAACTACAAACTGTGGTTTCCACCAGATACTGTGGACTACCAATGGTTGGAGGCTGGGTGGTTGGTTGGTTATGTGCTGTGGAGTCAGTTCCGACTCATAGCGACCCTGTACAGGGTTTCCGAGGCTGCAAATCTTTATAGGAGCAGAATGCCTCATCTTTCTCCTGTGGAACAGCTGGTAGTTTCAAACTGCTGACCTTGTGGTTCGCAGCCCGAGCAGGCCAGAAAAGGAAATACCATGTGATCAGAGGGAATTGACCCTTGTCAGCAGCAGCCAGGACTGAGGGTGCCCAGTGGGTGCTCTGGGGACCTATTTGTTGCTTGGTACCTTTCTTGACTACTGAATATTTAAAATTGGAAAAGGTGTGCGCCAGGGTTATAGTCTTTCACCATATTCCATTTACTATGATGTTACTTGTGGATTTTTGTTCTGAGGATTTTTGTTTTCTTTCCACTGAGGTGGAATCCATTCTAAGGTTGTGTCTTTGTCGGTAAGTATTTTAAGTCTTCTTCACTTCCAGCGAGCAAGATTGTATCATCTGCATATCACAGGTTGTTAATGAGCCTTCCTCTAATCCTGATGCCATGTCCTTCTTTGTGTAATCCAGTTTCTCGGATTATTTGCTCAGTATCCAAATTGAATAAGTATGGTGAGGGTAAGGACCTTAGAATGGATTGTTGAAGAGAGATACGTGAGGACCAGTTCTGGCCTTCCAAAACCTGACTGGAGTTCCCTCTTGTAAGTTTTCACTCAGGAAGAGAGACGCCCGCCCATCTGAGTCTTGGAGGAGCTTCTCCCCCTTTTGTTGCTGATGCTTGTGTGACTTGGCCTTTGAGATGATTCTCACGTATGCTGGCCCTGTGTGTGCAGAGCTAAACAGCTCCGTAGGGTCTTCCAGGTGGTGAATTTTTGGAAGCAGGTGGACCAGTCTTTCTTTGGGGCACCTCTGCGATGCCCAGAGATCCCACACTGTAAATCTTTTGTGCTCCTAACTCTATGTCAGTATCTGCTTCCCAAAGAACCCAAACTCCTGCACCTCGTATTAAAAAAAAATTTTTTTTCCCCTTCCCATAGCTCCTTACTTACTTTTGTATGGCTTCAAGTTGAGGAGGATTTTATATCTCTATTTGTAACCACTGTGGCACTGTAGGATAAGCACTGGATTGCTAACTTCAAGGTGGGTGGTTCAAGCCCTCCAGAAGCTCCTTGGAAACCCTATATAGGGTAGCTATGAGTCAGAATCGATTTGAAGGCATTTAACAATTTAACTTTGCAATCATTCTAGCCTAACTGGACTCTTTATGTTCAGATCTCCTAAACCCAGATGGCACTGTTTAGTCCTTGAGTCCCTTAAACAAGGGTAAGTAAAAAGGCATTGCAGCTAGTTTTTAGTTCATACACACACAGGTTTATTCCAAACCATACATGTTTAAACATGTCTCTGAGATCAGTGAATGGCTGCAGGCAAGTTTTCTCAGAAATACACTTGTCTTAGTCTCCTTAGGGTGCCTTCAAAGAAAAAGGTCCAATCAAAGCAGTGGCTTCTGACGGGGTCTGCTGAGCCAGTTACATTTAAGAGAGGTCAGCTCAGAAAGTGATAGAGACTTTCTTGGGACTACAAAAAGGTCATCTTGGTAGATTTTCTTAAAAGACACAAGTCCATCATGGGGGCTTATTAGGAAGACGTTTAAGATACTGGAAAAGTGCATTGGGTGAGAAAAAGGCGAAGAAACTTGGGGATTTTTTTTCCTTCCCCTATGACAATGTAAGGAGTTCTGGTAGCATAGTGGTTACGAATCAGGCTGCAAACCGCAAGGTCAGCAGTTAGAAACTACTAGCTGCTCCTCAGGAGAAAGATAAGGCTTTCTGCTTCCGTAAAGATTTACAGCCTCGGAAATCCTGTTCAGGATTGCTATGGGTCGGAACCGACTAGAAGACACTTAACAACAACAACATGACAATGTACCTTCCCACTTGTGTAGTGTAGTGAGGGCTGTCCTGAACAGGAAAATGTAAAAATATTCACTGCCCTCTCCACCCAGGGGACAAGCTAAAATGTTAATCAGGTTACTGAGTGGGACCAATCCTCTGGTTCCCTCCTGTCTTCAAACAGGTCCACATTGTCTTATATTCAGACTCAGAATCTGGAGAAGCTGGCTCTTCTGAGCCAGCAGTCTTTAATAAAATCTGAAACTCTACTTCCCATCTCCTAGTGGTCTCGGTTTCTTTGACAATGGATCAAGAGCTGCTGAGATACTCCCCAGGCCCAGGGCTGCTGTGACATTCTAGAATCTTAAACGCTGTAACTGTCCTACTAAAATTTCCTTGAGAAACCTTACCCCATCCACGTTTGAGAGCTGATCCTGATCTTTCAGACTTCTTTTAGTTCCTAAATCCAAAAATTATAGAAAAGGAGCACTTTTGAGTCCCTCAAGATTGCCAAAACTGACACTTTTATGTGGTCATTTGAAAATGAACGTCCGCATAGAATTCTTCAGGGAAGGGTTGTTGTCAAGTGCCATTGGGTGGGCTCAGACTCATAACCACTCCAAGGAGTGGCTGATGAGATTGAATTGCCAACCTTGTGGTTAGTAGTCCAGTGCTTATCCTACAGCACCACAGAGAGATGACAACCCCACCTTTAGAAGTGTATAGACCTAGATGAAGGCTATGTTGAGAAACAATAGCTTCATATTTTGATACTTTTGTTTAATAGAGGTTTCTATGATTTTGTAGCAATATTTTGTGACTTACAGCCATCTTTTAACGTTCTTTCCAAACACAAACTCCAGCCAAGACCTGTTTCTTAAAGTTCTGTGTATTCAGAATTGCTCATTAATGGAGAGACCACATGGAAGATACTCAATAAATTGAACTGAATTGATTTGGTAGTGAACATTCACATTCCTGGGAACCTGCCAGACCAAAAATAAGACCAAAGAATCAAAGGAACAAGAAATGGCAGACAGAACCCCCATTCTTTGGAGGCCCCTGGTTTGGTTGGTTTTCTATCAAGTCCATCTACCACAGATTACCAAGTGGAGAATTTCAGCAAGAGATTTAGAAGAATTTCTAATTTGGCAACCAAATTTATTATGGTTTTAAGTTGATTTCTTACTGGATCAATGACCCATTTGTTTGACTTGGTGGAGGAGGAGGGAAGGAGGTGAGTCTTGTTCAAATCTCTATAGACGGGGACCGATCTGAAGATTTCTTGCTTTCCTATGGGGACTTAAGTCGGGTCTGGGACATTGATGTTAGGGGTTACAATCAAGAAAGGGGGAGCATCAAGAAGTAGTTCTAAAAGCAAAGCTGAGGGAAGGGGAGAGAAACGACTGGGGTTCTTTAAGGGCGCGAGAAAATACACATGGGTCCTAGACCAGGCAGCCCACGACCTGGGGCCCAGGGACAAATGTGGGGATCTCCCTGGGCCGCAATTGGATAGCAGTGCGTCTCGACGCCTATTACTTCCTCGACTACAAGAAGAGGAATAACATCCAAACCGTGGGGCTGGCTTGCGGATTCGCTACAATTCCGGAGGCCGCACGCCCAGCTCGGAAGAGGCGCTCACCAGGGATCTCTCAGTCACTGACAAGAGGGAGTGGGGGTGGGGTCCAAGAGAACCTACGCCCGCGTCGTTCCCCAACGGGCACATAAAAACTCCATCAAGTTCCCGAGCTCAGTTTTCCGCGTCTCTTTAATTCTGATCAGCCGTGCGGGAACTGGCCGGGGGCCCTGGATCTCGCCCTGACTGGACCTGCGAGAGGCGGCCTGTCAGCCGACTAGGCATCCTCAATCGACTTTCCCGCGCTGGAACCGTTGCAGGTCTTTCGGTAGCCGTCGCTTTCGACTTTGACCTCAGGACCCAGGCCGTGGCATCCGGTCTCCACCCCCGCAGCGAGTTGGAAACCGAAAGCGCAGCGCAAGGCTAACGGGGAGGGGCACCCGGAGGGACGCCCCGCCCCACCCCGCGCGCCCGGAGGCCACTTGTTGGTTTCGATTCTTCTGTGCAAGAGCGCTCAGTTGCGTTGGGTGCTTCCTAGGCTCCGGCCGCCCGGCGCAGAGACCCGGACATGGCCGACCCCGGAGTGTGCTGCTTCATCACCAAGCTGCTGTGCGCCCATGGGGGACGCATGGATTTGGACGCGCTGCTCCAAGAGATCCAACTGCCCGAGGCGCAGCTGTGCGAGGTGCTGGAGACTGCCGGATCCGACCGCTTCGTGGTCCTGGAGACCGGGACCAGCCGCTCCGTGGTGGCCACCACTAGGGCTCGGGTCTGCCGTCGTAAGTTCTGCCAGAGACCCTGCGAAAACCTGCACGTGTGCAAGCTCAATTTGCTGGGTCGTTGCAACTATTCGCAGAAGGAGAGGTGAGTGGCCGGGGCTGGGGAGGGTGGACAGGCCCCTGCCCTGGGAGAGGCGCGCCTTAGCGAAGGGCCGTCGCCTCGACAGCCTCTTTGCTCCTCTCTTCTTTTCCCTTCTGGGAGCGCTCTGGTCTAGCGGCGCATCCACCCTGGCCCGTTCCTTCTCGTCCGTGCCTCCAGACCCAGCTTCCCATGCGCTTTTCCCCTACCCACCCCAAACCCAAGAATAAATCGCGTTCGGGGCCAACCAGATCCTGGGGAAGTTGGAGGCAGGTTTGAGAAGGAAGGAAAATGTCTCCTTTCTGAAATCTCGAGACTTTTTCTAGCCATGTGATGATCTTCCCAGCCCACCAGCCACGCCCCGCAAGCTCTTTCCTCCCGCTGCCCCGCCGCCGCCCGCGGTTCCTGCTGGGGTCCTTCACTACACTGTAATCACTTTCCTGCCATCTCGCTCCAGTTCCAGAGTGTTGTTGAGTGCCTTCGAGGACGTTTCAACTCACAGCGAGTCTGTATAGTGTTTCCAAGGAGAGGCTTGTGAGTTTGAACCACTGACTTTGTGGTTAGCAATCCAGTGGTTTTCCTGGACTAGCGGAGTTGCCCTTTCCTAATTTAGCAATGAGGTCCCTTTCCCTTGCCTCTACGAAGAGGTGGTTCCCCCCCCCCTCAGGTGTGCCCCAAGGTTTGGGAAAAGCCTTTTGACCTAGAAGTCTTGTAGATTTCTCCCTAAGCACTCACTCCTTTAGCAGTTACGTCTACAAATATGGCTGCCAAGCGTAGTCCCGCTGCGCACAACTTTTTTATTGTCCAGGTAGAGAAACAGCTGGCCCTGGGTTTCCTGCCAATATGGTGGTCAAACTCATCGCCTTTCCTCCAGGCAGGGTCTGTAGAACCTTTCTCAATCCTTTTCCTCAGCAATCCGTGAATCACCAAGTTTTACAGTCCTCCCTCACTTCACTTTTGAGGTAATCAACAATTCTTTTTGGCCACAGTGGATGGGCTAGTCTAATCGACCTCTGTGTCCTTCTGCCCAATTCTTTTTTTTCTGACACGAGTAGTTTTCTCTCCTGGCTCCTCCTTAAAGAGCCATAAGTGGGGTCCCAGTGCCTAAAATGGGACTCTTTGACCGTGCACATCCTATAAGCAAAAATCTTTAGCTCACAACCCCCATACGTGGTCATGAATAGGTACTTGGATGGAAGAGAGAAATGAAATATTTTTTTAAAATTCACTTTTACAAAGTCTTTTTTGCTCACTCTAAATTAAAAAAGCAACATCAACCCCAAACAAGTGCTTGAATTTGCTTCCCTGTTTTAAAAATACAGCATTTAGTAGATTTTGAGTCAACAATTTGAAAGTCTGTTTCTGAGTTGCTGGAAGTTGTGTTTATTGAGGGTCATCAAAGTCCGGAAATGAAAGTAGAAAGGAAGGAACATTCTAGCACCCTACTGAAAAACAATAGGTTTGGAAGGCTTTGTTTTGTTCTGTGGTTTTTTGTTTTTGAAGAGCAAAGTTGTGCTGCATGGTTTTTTGGTTGTTTTATTTTTTTTTAAACTTTTTATTCCTGAAGACATCTTCAGTTTTACATTTGACAAATTGTGTACTTTATTTCATTTCAATGATGTTAAATCAGGTGTCACACTTTCTCCTGTAATTCTTGTTTCCATTCTACCTTTTTTTTTTTTAAATCTTTCTGAATTTTGTCCTTAGGTGAGTAATGCCCTTTTGATCTTGAATGGTTGACCATTCCATGTACGCACACCTCACTAGAGTGTCTCCACACAGACCTTTCTACTGCTTGGCTGGAAATTGAGCCAAGAGTCATAGTCCTGGTTCCTCCAGTCTCTTTCTTACCAATCAACGTGGTCTTTTTTATAATTTTGAGTTCGGTGCCACATTACCCTCCCATAGGGTTTTTGTGTGTTTCTGTGTGTGTTTTAATTGCTATTTAAGTGAAAGTTTAGGGAATAAAATGTTTTCCATTCAACAATTTGTACACATTTGTTACTTGACACTTATTCCAAAGTGTAACATTCCTATCCATTTCTTGAGCTTTATCCTTGGGAAAATGCTGCCCTTTTGATCACGAATGGTTGATTGTTCTAAGAAGTGCCTACCTCCCTGATGTTATCAATTCACATACAAAAACTCAAGCCAAACCCACTGCCATTGTGTTGGTTCCTCCTCATAGCAACCCTATGTTGTTGTGGTTGTTACGTGCGTTGGTTCCAACTCACAGCTACCTGTATACGGTTTTCCAGAAGCTGTTGGTGAATTTGAACAGCCAACTTTGCGGTTCAAAATGACTTTTTGTTCTAGTGCTTACCCTACAGCACTACACCAGGACTCTAGCGACAGTATAGGACAGAGTAGAGCTATTTCCTAGGGTTTCCAAGACTGCAAATCTTTATGGAAGCTAAGCGTTTTCTACTGGCGAGCAACTGGAGGATTTGTACTGCTGATTTTTTAGTTAGCAGCCCAGTGCTTAGCCCACTGCACCACCAGGGCTCCTTGTTCACCCTATAAACTTGTTTATTGCTTGACTGAAATTTAAACCATGAGGCGTGAGTTCAGTTCCAGGCCTGAAGAATAAATAAAGGCTATAGTTTTGGGGCCTCCACCAATCTCAACTCAGATCAGTAAGCCTGCTCTTTTGATGATTTTGAGCTTTGTTTTAATTTTTCTCCCAGTATTCAAGAGCTGCTATATTGTGAGGTCCTTTTAGAGCATTCAGCAGTGGCAGTCGAGCACCATCTATTTCTTCTGATCTCAAGGTCATGGAAAGGATCTCTGGTAGCGTAGTGGTTACGAATCGGGCTGCGAACCTTAAGGCCAGCAGTTCGAAACTACTAGCTGCTCCGCGGGAGAAAGATGAGGCGTTCTGCTCCCGTAAAGATTTATAGCCTCGGAAACCCTGTACAGGGTCGCTATGGGTCGGAACCAACTCGATGGCACTTAACAACAACAACAAGGTCATGGAGGCTGAGGTCTGGGTGGTCCATTAGAACTTTGGACTAATTGTTTCCATGGGTCCATGGTCTTCTTCACTTAACTTTGCTCTGGATCAATAGTTGCACCCTACATGGCTGTTAACAAACTTTTAAGATCCTGGTCATTCACTAGTCACCAGAGTAGGAGGTAGAACATTGTCTTTGTGAATTGTGTTATTCCAGTAGGTCTTGAGATCTCCCTTGACTATGGTCTGAAGTCTTCAGGCCCCGTGACCATTCCCTCAAGGTGTTTGGTTTTTTTTTTTTCTCTTCTTAAAGTGATTGAGTAAATCAATGTAATGAAACAAGCTATATGAATGGTTGAATGTGAAGCTGATGATGTGCCCTGTAAACTTTCACTCAATCCAAAATAAAAACATTTAATAAAATAAATAAATAAATAAATAAAGTGATTGAGTAAATATTTGTTATCAACTAAGGAAGTCTTTTTGTTTTAAATGCATATGCTTTCTTTCTGTTGATTTTTGAACTATGGACTTATTCAACACACATACAAGCAGAGAGAAAGCAAACGATGTACCCTGTGTACTCATCACTGGTTTTAACATCGAACAGTATGGCCGATCTTGTCTCCTGTATTCTCCCCTCCCACATCTGCCCCCACCTGCCATGGATTATTTTAAGGCAATTTTCAGAGATCATTTGTAACTACTTTAGTAAACTCTCACTGCTGTTGAGTTGATTCTGACTCTTAGTGACACTGTAGGGTTGAGTAGAACTGCCCCATGGGGTTTCTAGGCTGTCATCATTAGAGTTGTGGGAACAGTCTGTCACAACTGTGGAGTGACTGGTGGGTTCGAACTGCTGACTTTTGGGTTAGAAACAGAGGGCTTTAACCATGGCACCACCAGGATTCCTAGTACAATGATCACATTTTCAAAAATTGCAATATTAATACAAAAATTAATTTCATCTAATATTCAGTAAAAGGAGCTTTGGTAGCATAGTGGTTACGAATCGGGCTGTGAACTGCAAGGTCAGCAGTTTGAAACTACTAGCTGTTCCGCGCGAGAAAGATGAGGCTTTCTGCTCCTGTAAAGATTTACAGCCTTGGAGACCCTGTATACAGGGTCATTATGAGTCGGTTCCAACTCCACGGCACATTAACAACAACAACAACAATATTCAGTGAAGGAGACCTAGTGGCACTGAAGGATAAACACTGGACTGGTAACCACAAGGTCAGTAGTTCAAACCCACCAACTGCTCCATAGGAGAAATATGAGGCTTTCTGCTCCTGAAAAAGATTCACAGTCTATATAGAGTTCTGTAAGTTGGAATCAAATCAGTGTCAGTGGGTGACTAGTCATTTGGTGTTTAAATTTCCTTGATGGTTTTATAAATCAGATTTGCTGTTTCAAGAAAAAAGCTACATAGACATAATTCATAATTATTTTCAAGATGTTGTTGTTGTTGTTAAGTGCCTGACCCATAGCAACCCTATATAGGGTTTCCGAAGAGCAGCTGGTGAGCTTGAACCTCCGACTTTGCAGTTCAAACGACTTTGCAGTCTGTTGCATTAACCCACAGGGCAACACCAGGACTCCTTCAATATGTTAGATATAGAATATGTTTACAAACTTTTTTTCCATTTTCTACATACATTGCGTATAGATATTATCATTCTTGTTGTATGCATTTTGTTATGGTGAGGTTTAGTTGGCCTGGTTTGAAGCATCAAAACTATTGTTAACTCATAAATTGGGTTTTTAGATTGAATTTTTCTATATTTTTATAAAAGTATATAATACAGATATCTTTTAGTTTGTCCAACTTTGGGTGGACTCTCTAGGGAATTCATTGTACTCAGTTTGTTTTAACGTGGAGTGATACTTTAGATTTCTTACTTTTATTGATCTAGTCTTTCTTTTTACTTTACATTATTATTTGTTTTATTCATCTAGCAATTTTTTTTGTACTTTATATCCATTTTGAACTTGAAAATTACAATATAAAAAATAATTAACGTCCAGGCATGCCTTAGAGTTATTGTGGATT